TATATATTATTATATTATATTATATATATTATTATATTATATTTATATATATAATATAATATATTATTTTATATGTATATATACTCGAGCTTAAAAGGTGGGAACTTCAACAATAAAAAGGAGTTCTCAAATTATCTTCCACTTTTTATCATTTTTTATCAAACACACAACATGAATAATAATAGGTAAAGTTCATTCTTCCTCTTCTAACTTCCTGTTATCAAACGCACCCTTAGGGTAGGCGCTACCAAACTTTGAAACGACCTAGTCTGAGGTATCTCCTCTTATTATAGGGAGTAACCCCATGAATTAGTCTGGGGTATCTCCTCTTATTATAGGGAGTAACCCCATGATTTAGTCTGGGGTATCTCCTCTAATTATAGGGAGTAACCCTATGAATTCGATTTTTTAATGCTCAAATGAGGATTGCTAATTTTAAATTAGAAATATATAGTAAAATGTTTATCTTGTCAAAAACAATAGTGTATATTATGAGACTTTCGGTACGAAGTCATAGTCATCATTAGTCATCAAATTCAAAATCGATTACCTAAGTGTGTCACAAAGTTTGACAAAAAAAACTTTCTTAACATTAGGCACCATCAATGGCAAATCCCCAGCTGTTCACTTACATATCAATGGCTAAGGGTGACCAAAGATAAACACTCTTATTGTTTACTCTCTCCAAAAAGACAACATTGAGTCGAAACCCCTTTTTCCCTTCCTTCTTTTTTTTTTGGTTTCTTCTTCTTTTGGTGTATGCATATCAAACATTCACTCCCCTGGAAAACCCTGTTTGGGAGTGTTTTCAGGGCCCTAAATTTTAGAAATGCAACCCATAAAGAATTTTAAAAACAGCAGTAATAATAACAATATCCAAATATTGAATTTGAAATTTTTGGACAATTAGATCTAAAAGTTTAAGAATACATATCTAATTTTATTTTTATTTTGAAATCCTCATGAGGTGATTCTAAAGTGTATGTACCGAATTTTGGATCAAGAAACTCTTCTGTAGTAAGTCTTTTGACTGAGGAAGTAAATATATAGTATGCTCCTAGGGGGAGTATGCTATACACATTCGAAATGGAATATTGCTTAACATGTATATGAGAAAGTGTATTCTAATTTCTATTATGCAAATTGTGGCGGGTAGGAATCGGGCTTGGATCAAGTCGGTAGAGGCTAGGTTTTCATCGCACAATATCTCAAATTCCATTCCTAGGCAACCTTGTCAAAAAAAAAAATTATAGCTGGTGCATGAATTAAAATTGTTCTTATATGTTGATAGATAAAACAATAATATAAAATTTTTTTCAACTTGCAGCTTGGAGATATGGTATTTTCAAGGGTTGGTGCTTATCTCAGGACTCCTACCTGATCCCGAAGTTTCCTTAGATTCCATTTCAGTTTGGTAAGTTCCTATTTTTTTTTTTTTTTTTTTCTTTTAGTTGGCCACGACATAAAGAGTTTTCCAAAATATTGTATTTGATAGGGAAATTCGTTAAAATGCATCACATTTTATTCATTTTTTAATTAAATTGGATAAGATACTATCAAAAATACACGTGATCATGATTTATGAGTTGGAATAGTTTAAAATGGGTAAAATGTTTCATAATTATTAAGTTGGGTATATTATGATAAGTTACCCTTATTTAATTGCTACAAATTTAATTTTTTTATGACAATTGTATTTTTTTATTTCATTTTAAATATAATTTCCTTTTGTGAGTTTCTCTACCTTGATTTCCTGTTGTTCATGTTTAACTCCTGTTTTTTCTAATTTAAAAATTGATAGAGATGTGAGGGACAATTTGAAGGGCGTGATGTTTTTATTTTTTATTTTTAAAAAAAAAATTTGATTTAATAGGGGACTTGTTGTTGTTTATGTTAATTATGTGCCTAGAGTGAAAATCGTCGCCATTTATGACATTTGCTCTTTTAAACGTGCCTCTTTTACAAACAATCGCATCCTAAACTAAACCAAAGCTTCACAATTTATCAACAATCATTGGATTAACAAAAAGAAAAAAAATTCATGTTCCACTTCTAGTGATTATATAATAAAATTATAAAATTAATTATCTTTGGTACAAAGAGTCACAATTACTATTAGTTGTTGGATGTGAAATTGGGTGATTAAGCATGTACAATAGACCTATCAAATTCAACAAAAAAGTTTGAGTTGCGATACATACCCCAGACGATTGAAATTCATATATGATGGCCAAAAAGTGACTATAACCTCGTTGAACCAAAAATAAATTATATTACATATGCATGTTAGATAACTTATACACCAGTGTTTCAATTATGCAGTATGAACTACCTAAACTGGGATATGCAGCTCATGTTGGGCCTAAGTTATGCAGCAAGGTATGTATGCATTCATTAGGGAATCTCCCATTATTTGTGGTTTGCCCTTGTATGAGTATTATATATGGAAAGAGTTTGCATAAGGTTGCAACCTTAAAATGTAGAATTAAAAATGCACTTCAAAAAATCATCGAAAAAAGTAGTTTTAATGTTGAAAAGCCGTCTAATTGATCATCTCAACATCGAGAAGTACGAATATGAAAAAAAATGATTTTGAGTCCCAGAAGTAGTGTATCTTGCAACACATTATCTAGACCGTCCATTTTCAATATTTCCATATGTTTATAGATCTACTTGATTTTAACCATTTTAGGAGTTTAAAATTTTATAATTAGATATGAAAATAGATTTTGAGATAATCCTAATAATTTTTTACACCAAAATTACATGCTATGATGAAATTTAGAAGTGTACCTTAATTGGATTGTTTAAAGTCGCAACCTTATGGAAACCATACCCATTATATATATATATATATATATATATATATGTATAAATTGTTTCATGTTGGCCGGACCACATTTCTACATATGTGGTCCAGGAAGTGTACAGCATCCATCTTAAAGATGGATGCAATTAGGTGCTCCATCTATAAACAAGGAAACTAACGGCCCAAATGTTTTCTTACTAGAATTATTATTTTTAATTTTAAAAATTTATTTATTTTTTCATATTCATGATCTCCATGTTAGAGATTACATATCCTTAAAAATTAAGTCTTAAAATCCATTTCAAAAGTAGATTTATTAAGGGGCCCGCATTTCTACATATACGGGCTTGGCCACATAGAAATGGGTCAGGTGGACTCCGACCCAACCTTGTTAAGTCCAGGCTGGGCAGGATCAAAACCTAGTTGCGTCTAGGTCAAGTGGACCTGGACTCTGTAGGGTCCAGGTCAAATGGATCCAAACCGAACCCCGCCTATTTACCAGTTGGAATGCACGCTCGTTTTGCTTTTCTTGGGGTGCATGCCTTACTCTTTTATATATATATATATAGGATGCGCGCATGTGTATAGTTGAAAACTAATAAATTCTTTGCTGCTATTAAACATAAATTTGCAGCATCCGAGTCGGAAATGAGCTCGGGGCACAGAAGCCGCGAACCACGAAATTCTCAGTGGTGGTGGTTACAACTACATGTTTTATTATAAGCTTGGTTTTGAGCATTGCAGTTTTGTTGTTGAAGAGACAATTGAGTTTAGCCTTCACTAGCACTGCTGAAGTGATTGAGGCTGTTCAAGCCATGACTCCTCTTCTTGCATTATCTGTTCTCCTTAATGGAACACAACCCATTCTCTCTGGTATATTACCAAACCCTTCAAGCTTGTATATGCAAAAAAAATTACATTCTGTTTCTACTGTTCATGTTTTCTTCAGTTCTTTTTCTTTTGTTCTTTTTCATAACAAAAATGGACGACTAACAAAAGCCCAATGGGACTTCGCTTCCTAGCCCAAGCATTGGGCATTTATCAAGCAAAACCAAGCTCAAAAGCACCAACTAGAGAGGTCAATGCCAAGGCCCATATGGGCTCAATCCTCACTTGGCCCATCAATACTATGGCCAAAATGAGAAAACTGCAATAGAACTTGGAGCAAATTTTAGTCAAATTAGCTCAAATTACATATAATTCATGGAGAATGTGTATCAGTTTCTTTTCTTTTCTTTTTTCCTTTTCTTTTTTCCTTTTCATGTTTGATGCTTGGTTGAGGAGGTAACATCTCCAAGATTTAGTGCCATTGAGATACACCTAGAAAAGGTTTTAGCCAAGGGAGTGAATATAAAATAGGAAAAGTATCCAATAAGACCGTTTATTTTTTTAAGGAAGGAGGTCACAATTGTGATTGATCATTAAATATAAAATTGGGTGGCTAAGGGTTTATGCTTGGTCGGGTACAAAAATCAAAATAAAGTTTGTTGAGTTGTGTGATACAACTCTAGCTATCGGATATCACATCCAAGGATCGAAGGTAATTATGATCTCCTTATACTAAAAATAAATGAAATTTTGCTTACCGTAAAGAGCAGCTGAAGAATTATAAATTTGTTAATGCAGGAGTTGCTATTGGATGTGGATGGCAAGCCTTGGTGGCTTATGTTAATTTGGCAACTTATTACATAATTGGCCTTCCCATTGGATGTGTTCTTGGCTTTAAGGCTGGACTAGATGCAGCTGTAAGTTGGCTTACAAAAACATAAATACTTAATGTGGTAGATTAGATAGTAATTTCTCTTTTTTTTATTTTATTTTAATAAAGTTATTAAAATACACCTCATAGATGAACTATTTAATGTTAAACCTGATCTCATTTGATTTAATTTCAAAAAGTCCAAAATACACATGATGATACAATTTAGAAAAAAAAAAAAACACGTGATAATGAGTAGGAATAGTTGAAAATGGATAGAATGCTAAATACTTGATAAATCCGACGTATTTTGATGAATTCTACTTTTATTTTTATGTTAATTTCTTATTTTATTCTTAATTTAGTTACTTTTTATTCTTAATTCAATTTGGACAGGGAATTTGGTGGGGGATGATTATTGGAGTGGGACTACAAACTGCAATTCTTATTGTTCTAACAGCTAGAACCAACTGGGACAAAGAGGTAATTCTAGTAGTAAGCATGATTTCAAAGTTTTCCTCTGTTCTACTTGCTTTCAATGAGAAATCTGACCAACCAATAATTAACATGATCCCCCATCCTTTCCTTCTCTCTCTCCAATGGCCTCACATTGTTTAAGTACACACTCTCTCTCTCTCTCATAACTTCACATTGTTAAATTTACTCTCACTCTATCTAATAACCTCACTTTGTTTATATTCTCTCTCTCTCCTCCCCCCGGGGTCCCAAAACCAAAAATAATAATATCTCATTGTTTAAATGTACTCTCTCTCCTCCCCCGGGTCCCAAAACCAAAAAAATAATCTCACATTGCTTAAATGTACTCTCTCTCTCTCAACCTCACATAGTTTAAATAAATTTACTCTCACATTATTTAAATTTAGTCCCAGTCTCTCTAACAACCTCACTTTGTTTACATTTACTCTCTCTCCTAACCTCACATTATTCAAAGGATGTGGTTTGTATAAGTTTGAGTTCCTAAATCATCAAAGTAAGGCACGCTTTTAAATAGTGTGGAAAGATATTTTAATACTGAAAATGTTTGTGATGGCCTGAAATTTATTTTTATCTCTAATTATAAATTTTAAAGTTTCAAAAATAGTGTAGATCGAGCAAATCTACGAACACTTGAAAGTTTTGAAAATTGACAGTCTAATACTGCATTACAATATGCAATATTTGCAATACTTAAAATCCTTTTTTTTTATGTCTATATATCTTGAGGTTGAGATGATCAATTTAAGGATTTTGAGCATTGAAAAAGCCTCGTTTGATAAACTTTTGAGGTACACCTTAATTGATTGTTTAGGGCCTCGCCCTTATATATTTAAATTTACTCTCTTTTTTTGGGGAAATCGTTTAAATTTACTATCTCTTGTGCCAATCTTGAAAATAGGGTTCTCCTGAAATTGGGTTATCCTAAAACTTGTTTGTCCTTGGATAGAGGTGTGTGTTGTTTAGATAGCACCTGATAAGAAATAGGGAATATGCATGTCCCTTGTCTGGATTGTCAAGAATATGTGAATCAATAGATAATTCAGTTGCGGTTTTTATATTACTACTCTACATTTAATTTTATACTTATTAACTTCTCCTATTGATTCCAAACTTCAATATTATTTATTAATTAAGATGAAATTTTTATTTTTTTATTCTTTTCTGTTGTATAATATTATATAAATATATAATATTATATGGTAATAATACAATATAATATAAATAAAAAAATAGTATATTATATATATATATATATATATATATATATATATATATATATTTCATTATATGTATTATTATTATATATATATTTTATAATTATTTATTTATTTTTTATATATATATTTATTCTGTATGATATATGTAATGAGAAATGATCTTATAGGACCCTCCCCCACCCATGTATGTAGTACCTAAAAGGATCACCATTAAAGTTGGCACAAATCTCTAGAAAAATCAAATCTCACACCCATGTGATAATTTTTCTAGAGATCCGTGTTAACTTTAATGGTAATCAATTGGGATCCTACGCACACGGCTTATAGGATCATTATTCATATAATATATAGTATACAAATATCATATATTACATATGAGTAATGATCCTATATGACCATCTCCCACGTATGTGTGTAGGATCCCAAATGATCACCATTAACGTTGCTACGGATCTCTAAAAAAGTTATCACGTGGGTATGAGACTTGATGGGACTTGACTTTTCCATAGATCTATGCCAAATTTAATAGTGATTCATTAATGTCTTCCACACATGGATGGGAGAGGGTCCTATAAGATCATTTATCTTTATATATTTATAATATTATTATATATTTTATATATATAATATACATGTTCATTATATTATATGTAGTATATAATATAATATTTAAATAAGATGCCTTTGTGATTCGCATACCTCAATGTTTCAAATTAACTTAAATGAATTGTAAAATTTCGGTCCAACATGAATTGGCAAATCCAAAAAACCGTAGATAACCCTATACCACCTATTTTAGTAGAAAAGCGATATCCACAATTTTTGCCCAAAAACGTGGATTAGCCACTCTCTCGAATTAAGCTATCCACTCATAAATGTTTTACCCAAACAAGAGATAAAAGCCCAGTACCATGATAGCCTCTCTCTCTAATAACTTTTTTTTTTCTTTTTTCTTTTTTTTTGTCTTTTTTTCTTATCTTTTCAGGTTGAAAAGGCGGCTGTGAGAATAAAGCGCTCAAATGACGAAGAAACATTTGAAAATGGGCGGGCTTAAAGGATTGTATTTAGTGAGTGTCGCCATTGTTCTTCCAATGCTTTTACAAGCATTAGCCTTTTTGATGGAGTTGTGGAAAGAAGGAATCTCATGTTTTGAGTTGGTGGTTGCTGATGATGTAACCGTGCTGTTATGATCTGATCTTTGTAATTCTCCGATTGATTAATAATATATGGAATATTGTCAAAAAAAAAAGCAAGTACAATGTTTAGAATATCGGCTCGAGACTTGCTTCCATAAAGTAACTTGGGCAAGTCCGACAGAATAGCCAGCGTAGTGTACAATGCCCAAAAACGCCTTTAAAATAAATAAAAAAAATAAAAAAAATATTAAAAATTAAATAGAAATAATAAAAAACAAACTAAACAAAAAACAACATAAAACGTTCAAACATGCTAAAAATATATAAAACATGGATTTAAGAGAACTAATTTACACTTGGGGATATTTCAGAAAATTCAAAAAAATAGGAAAATGTAAATATAGGACATATGACTGTTGGGTTTATGTGGAGTTTAAATGCCTTATGAGTGCTTGTAAAATGAAAAGATAGAGTGGAACATGAACTCAGTGGGAGTGTGGTCCCTCGTTGACCATACTAAGCAAACGATGGTTTGCCGATACCAATCTGTGCTTAACGATCTAGGCCAATCGGTTGAAAAAAACCCATATTACCTTGACATGAAGAACAAACCAATGAGGGTTTACGGGTTAGCTCTTGATGAGGTTAGAGAATATGCCCGGATGAGTGAGCTGAGTGACTGTATGACCCATGTGTGTGATGGTGGCCTACAAAGACAGGAGTTAAAACCTCATCCATGTACCATCACATGGCGTGCATATCGATAGATCGTTCGGAAAAGCCAGAAATCCACCTTTTGGGTGAAGCGTATGCATGTGCGAGATATACCCCTATGCGCCATAGAGCTGTGGTCGCATAAGGTCTTGGTGGGGAAGACCTGAAATCCACAGACTGGGATTGTAATCCCTTGGCTCATCGATCGGACTTTGGTGACCCGCTAATGAGCCTATGCTTGAACTCTGGGTCATGGGAAACACTGGGTCGGTCTGATAAAGCAAATGCGTTATGTAG